GTAGAATATGGCGTTTTCTTCAATTAATTTAGTCAAAACAGGCCTATATATTATATATACAGACAACTAAACCCCTTCCAAATTAGGTTATCTATGTTTTGTTTATTTCTGTTCCCAGACTTTCAGCAGAGATCCCAAAGTATTTCCTGTTAAACTGAAATCTCTGCTGCAACCCTAACTATGGTCTCATGACCACGCATGTATGCAGAATAGCACAGGCCAGGACTTCATGCAGATATGAGTGATACTGTCTAGCACCATCAGGCTATTTTTTTTTTTGGAAGATTATGTTTTGCTCCTGGCTTGACGGAGGACCAGAAACAAACCTTATCTGTGGTCAGAGTCACAATGAGCATTCCTCAGCAACAGGTAGCACCAGTGGAGGACCAGACTGGTGGTATTCTGTATGATCATATCTAGATTTCAAGATAGGTGATTATTATTTATATTATTGCTTACGTATTAAAAATTGTAGTTGAATAGGAAATAAATTACGGCAAGGTCCGTGTTCTAACTGTCTGTCTGAGACTGATGGTGGCCGTAACATTTTAATTAAATTACAATAACGATAAAGTTAGACATAAGGTCAAGTGATTATCATACACATTAAAAATAAAAGGATAATAGCGAGAAATCCTCGCATAATAATCCCAATTAGAATAAGTAAATATAGAAAAATACTAGTAGGCAGTCACAGCAGAAAAAATAATTTAAATTTACGTAACAGAACGAGAAACCCCATCTTGACAGGTCTCGGATGCATCCCGATGAAGTGAGCTGTAGCTCACGAAAGCTTATGCTCAAATAAATTTGTTAGTCTCTAAGGTGCCACAAGTACTCCCCATCCTGAAACTGGCACAACCATATTTTCTTATTGGAAATCTGAATGTAAAGGTGTAACTGTCTGTGGACAAGTGATTAGAATTGTTCCCCATGAGCCTGGCTCCCTCATGAGTGAGAGGTAAAGAGCTCCCCATCCCCTGAGCATAATTTAGAACCCAAATAAATAAATACACACACATGAGAGAGAGAATGAGCATTAAGTCAGTCACTGGAAAATATTCAAGTATGAAGTATGAGGAGAAGGCATGAGGGCAATTATGAATCTTGTCAAATTATAAGTTTAGAGGAGCAAAATAACAGGCAAATAATTTTTCCTTGTCTAAAGATAAAATATTCCGGTTCTTGGAAAGAAGATTAAGAAGTATGAAGGACAGTCTCCACAAACAAATTCTCTAAACTAGAAAGACACTAATTCCTAGGCTGTTTCATATTTCCAGTTGAATGCTGAAATCCCTTCCACAGACAATATATGGGAGAGTTAGGGAAAAACCAAATAGATGGTGAACCACAGGCAGCCAAACCAGGACCGTTAAGATAAAGAGAAGTATCCATATGAATATATTATGCATGGCAAGCTAGATAAATAAAAGGATATAGTCTTCTTTACATTAGTACCAAGTCATTTGCGCCAAACATTAACAGGAAATCCCATAGACTTGTTCTTACTAGTTACCATGAAAGCGGGCAGACTCGGCCCAGAATAATAAGAGAAGATCCTCAAACTAGGACATTGACCTAATATAGCATATAGGTCAAGTCCCACACAGACATTCAATTGGAACACTGGTTTCAAAATTACAGCAATCCTCAGCTATCCACAGGGAATTGAGTGTGCAATGGAGAGTTTGTTTTCCCAAGGTAATGACAAACTCTTCAGCTGAAGAAAATCAACACCATATTTGATTGCACCTGCAATAATACATAAACAAATAGTTGGAAGTATTGAAAATATCCTCACCACGTACCTCTAGGTTTCCATTTGACTGCTTTACGTCACAATGAATTAAGTCAGATCTAAATGCTGACCATGCAAGCCTTCCACGTCCAAGCTAAAATTCATTGGCAAGGTCTTCAATGCAGGAAGGGACAAATGATAAATTCTCTCTGGTTGAATTTAAGTCAGTGATGTTCATTGAGGCATTGTCACAAGTCTTCCATTCCACAACCTCCCTTTGGAACCAGTGTCCTTCCTGGTTTCTGGTCAGTGAGGAAAGAACGTGGCTCATCACTAGTCAAGACTGTCAATTCCTTCCTAAGGGAGGGTAGGGCATCGTCTTTTCTTATGGAAGTTGTTGTATGACCTTTGCTCAAGAAACCATCACTTCATGCTGGCAATCTGGCCAACAACATTCCACTATCTAATCTTCTATTTTTGTTTAAGACTACAGGGAAAACTGTGGTGAGATAACTCTTAGAGCCTTTAGATGCCTCACATGACCCCTTGTCATTCTGAGTATGACTGGAATAAGAGGACAGAAACTGAGGTGCGGTGTAAATGAAAGATCCTGCAGCCTGGGTAAGGATGAAGATTGGGGTGTCCACGCTGCTATTTTTAGATCCATCAGATGCACATAATAGCAATGATCACAAAGTTCTGATAACTCACATGAAAAGCATACCAAGTTTGGACACAACTGCTCTGGGACAGCTCAGTTTCTTCCTGGTAGTTTTTCCAGACCTTGTGCAATTGCTCTTCATCTTTAGGAGAACTATCATCTGGATTTTCACAGCATTTCATCTTGTCTCCCCTGTTGAAAGGGTGAGTGAGGAGGTATGGGCTGCAGAGTTATCAATATGGTGATGATGTCAAAGTGTATCAATCTCACCTAACCAAGACACTGCTGTTGAATGTCTGGTCCAGTGTTTGGTTGAGATCAGGAAATGGATGAAACTGCTGGTTGAAATCATTGGCAACTGGCTGAAACTCAATCCAGATAAGACTGGTCATGGTAAAGTAATGCTGGTAACTTGAGGGAAGCAACCAGTAGATATGGCAAAGATACCTTCCATATTATACTGAGGATGTTTGCCTACTTTATATTGAGGATGTGTCTCAGCCATTTGTTAACAGAACTCATAAACTGGTGGGATTGTTAGACTTCAAAATGCTGCTAGATTAACATACAGCAGCAGTTTCAAGAATGACCATTTTCATCATCACTTGGCCAGGAGAATATGACTTTTTTCAGATGTAGATCCTTGCTGCTCTGATGCATGTCTTTGTTACCTGGAGATTAGACCACTGCAATGTGCTCTTCTTCCAACTTTATCTTAAATCAACACAGAAACTGAAACTAGTGTGGAATGTGGCAACCTGCTTATTAAGTGATGTAATTCTCTGAATTGGCTATCTGTTGGTTTCTAGGTGGATTTTAACACATTGTCTTGGATTTATAAAATCCTAAATGACTTGCAACCTGCCTACTAACACTCCCAAATTTCACCTACTGTACTAGACCCTTTCTAAATTATCAAAAAAAAACCTGAGGAGTACTTGTGGCACCTTAGAGACTAACAAATTTATTTGGGCATAAGCTTTCATGGGCTAAAACCCACTTCATCGAATGCATGCAGTGGAAAATACAGTAGGAAGATATATAGAGACAGAGAACATGAAAAAATGGGTGTTGCCATACCAACTGTAATGAGACTAATCAATTAAGGTGGGCTGTTATCAGCAGGAGGAAAAAAAAACTTTTGTAGTGATAATCAGGATGACCCATTTCAAACGGTTGACAAGAAGGTGAGAGTAACAGTAGGGGAAAAATTAGCTTGGGGAAATAGTTTTTACTTTGTGTAATGACCCATCCACTCCCAGTCTTTATTCAAGCGTAATTTAATGGTGTCTAGTTTGCAAATTAATTCCAATTCTGCAGTTTCTCGTTGGCGTCTGTTTTTGAAGTTTTTGTTGTTGGAGAATTGTGACTTTTAGGTCTGAAACTAAGTGACCAGGGAAGTTAAATCTTCAACCTCCCTCATTTTTTTTTTTTTTGCTGATACAGAATAACACATTTACCACTCTGAAACCTTTCTAAATTATGTTGTTTCTGCAACTAAAGCTGTGTCTCAATATCCTGATTACCAGTAATTATAGACTGAGTGGTAAAAATAAATGTTTGTACAACCATGGCCCTTCTTGGAAACTCCCCAAAACCTCAGTGATTTAAAAATGTGTCATTTAAAAACAATATTGTGATTCATTTCAATATTACATGATTACACTGAATAAAAGATATATATTTTTTCTTAAAGTGCACTTTTTACCTAATTACCTAAGACATTATGATCATAGCCCAGAAATTTCAATAAACTGCATTCTATTACTATTAGACAACATACTAGTAACACAATATGAAGATTTACTATGTTAATATTTCTGAACAATATTAGTGCCATATAATGTTAAACAGTAAATATGAAGACAATGTACTATAGTTCAAAAATAATCATTCCCATTTGAGAGATGTGTTAGTGAAAATAGATTGCTTGTAAGTGAGAGTTAGAAGGGTAAAAATATTGAGGCCTAGGGACTCTCATTTGCTTTATATCTTGCACACATTAGGTCTCCTTGCTCCATTGCCTGTTAAATATTACTGGACAAATTTGCTAGCCTTTATTCTCAGGCTTGGCCACTACAGATTTAAATGCTAATTCAATAAATAGACAGCCTGACATTATAATCTAGGTACATTTACATGATGTTTTGATGTTAACTTTAAAACACCTCCATATATGTCATTGTCAGGCATATAGTATATGTTATCAGTTTCATATTTAATTCACTATCCATTCTTTTGTTTATAGCTACTGATTAGTAGTGATTTTTTCACAAGAATAATGTTAATCTTGCTTGATGTTTCCTCTAAACTATTTTATCTTACACAGTTTTTCAAATGAGTGACATAGATCATTATGTACAGCATCATGTATTGTGCGCTACTAGTCAAAGCTGCAGAGTAAGCCTATGCGAATGTAATACAAAACAGAAATATGAATGAGATAATGTATTCATATGACATGGAACACTTCCAGTCATTTTTCACTGCAGAGCTGCTGTATGCATTTCATATTCCACACTTTACAGTTGCCTGTGGAAATATGGAAATGCAAAACTAGCTGAAAAAATAAATAAAATAAAACTGTTTCCTAAGTCTCACCTTATCGTCCTGAGGCATCAGGGATTCTGTGTTGTCTCCGTTTTTATTAATAATGCAACAATAGTCTTTCAACCATTCTTCCTGCAGGATAAATGCTCTTTTTTGGCAACTAAAGACATGTGATTAACTAGCTCATAGGCTAAAACCTGACAGAGGTTCTCAATATCTACCAGTCTATCCATCTGGTACCTAGAGGAGAAGAAATAAATGGGTTATGTATCTATTCAAAGGGGACTTTTATATCCTCCCACAAAGTCATTACATTAGAAATATGAACTTTGCTCTCTTGCTCATAATATAACAAAACCATTCTGTTACTAATTTAATTCCTATTTAGCTTCAATAAGACAATTTTCTATACCTGGAAGCTGCAAACTAACTAGAATGCTCAACGGGAGAACAAGACTTTACTGACATACTTGCATTAAAATAGACAGCATGTGCATCTCTTGAGAGTAGAAAAGCACTTTGTGCTTAATATTCACACCTTTTGCTATTCCTTATATTGTTTTCTGAAGAAAAACATTTTGACACTCCCACTTTTTTCATTAAAATTTATAATTTGAATAAAGGAGCATTATATCTTTTCATCTGTATGTAACTGAACCTAAATCGGTCTCTTACCTTGTAGGGAAATTGCACAGCTTCATGGATATAACAGGATGAGTGATGTATAAAATGTTTTTCAACTAACTGTGCATGATTTACTCTTTAATGCCAGGAAAACTTCTCTCTATTAGCATTTTCAGAAAGCTAAAAAAAGATGATGATATATTCAGTATAATACCCAATTATATTACTAGAAAACCATAGGAAAAATTAGAGTTGTCAAGCGATTCAAAAAATTAATTGCAATTAATCGCACTGTTAAACAATAATAGAATACCATTTATTTAAATATTTTTGGATGTTTTCTACATTTTCAAATATATTGATTTCAATTGCAACACAGAAAATAAAGTGTACAGTGCTCATTTTATATTTATTTTTGATCACAAGTATTTGCACTGTAAAAACAGCAGAAATTACCATGAACCCAATATCAGTACTGTAGTGCAATCTCTTTATCATGAACTTACAAAGGTAGAATTATGTACAAAAAATAACTGCATTCAAAAATAAAACAATGTAAAACTTTAGAGCCTACAAGCCCACTTGGTCCTACTTCAGCCAATCGCTCAGACAAACACATTTTGTTACATTTGCAGGAGATAATGTTGCCGGCTTCTTGGTTACAACGTCACCTGAAAGTGAGAACAGGTGTTCTTATGGCACTGGTGTCACAAGATATTTACATGCCAGATGCGCTAAAGATTCATATGTCCCTTCATGCTTCAACCACCATTCTAGAGGACATGAATCCATGCTGGTGATGGGTTCGGTTCAATAACGATCCAACGCAGAGAGGACGAATGCATGTTCATTTTCAACATCATGAGTCAGATGCCACCAGCAGGAGGTTGATTTTCTTTTTTGGTGGTTTGGGTTCTGTAGTTTCCGCATCAAAATGTTGCTCTTTTAAGACTTCTGAAAGCATGCTCCACACCTGGTCTCTCTCAGATTTTGGAAGATACTTCAGATTCTTAAACCATGGGTCGAGAGCTGTAGCTATTTTTAGAAATATCACACTGGTACCTTCTTTGCGTTTTGTCAAATCTGCAGTGACAGTGTTCATAAATCAAACGTGTGCTGGGTCACCATCTGAGACTGCTAATAACATGAAATATATGGCAGAATGCGAGTAAAACAGAACAGGAGATATACAATTCTCCACCAAGGAGTTCAGTCACAAATTTAATTAACGCACTTTTTTTTTTAATGAACATCATCAGCATGGAAGCATGTCCTCCGGAATGCTTGCTGAAGCATGAAGGGGCATATGAATGTTTAGCATATCTGTCACGTAAATACCTTGCAATGCTGGCTACAAAAGTGTCATGTGAATGACTGTTCTCACTTTCAAGTGACATTGTAAATAAGAAGTAGGCAGCAGTATCTCCCATAAATGTAAACAATCTTGTTTGTCTTAGCAATTGACTGAACAAGAAGTAGGACTGAGTGGACTTGTAGGCTCTAAACATTTACATTGTTTTGTAAATCTACATTTGTAAGTTAAACTTTCACAATGGAGATTGCACTACAATATTTGTCTGAGCTGAATTGAAAAATACTATTTCTTTTATCATTTTTACAGTGCAAATATTTGTAATAAAAACTAATATAAAGTAAGTACTGTACACTTTGTAGTCTGTGTTGTAATAGAAATCAATACATTTGAAAATGTAGAAAAACATCCAAAAATATGTAATAAATTTCAATTGGTATTCTATTGTTTAACAGTGTGATTAAATTTTTTAAATTGCAGTTAATATTTTTGAGTTAATCGCGTGAGTTAACTGTGATTCATCAACAGCCTTAAAAAATATAAAACTTATGCAGAAATTACATATTCTATACCAAATTATTTTTTATGAGGAATGGGAGAATTATTGGAAAAAAATTAAAACACCTCCAATAATCTTAAAAAAAAAACCTAATAGGTACAAAATGTGTACAAGTTTTCAGTCCCATTTTGCTTTCATTAAATGCCTTATGATCAGAGCTGGGCAAAGGTTTTTAGAGGACTAGTTTATTTGCCAAAAATGTGGTTTCAAGTTGACTGAAACTATTCACAAATTCAGGTTAAATTTGCTGAATAATTTCAGCCAAAAAATGATTTTTTTAAAAAGTCTAAATATTTCATTTTAACGTGTTCAAAACAAAATGTTTTGACTTTTCATTTAGTAATGATATTTTGTTTAGAAATTTATGTAGATTTATTTAAAACAAACAAACAAAACAAAACGGGTAAAAGTACCCAAAAACTAAATAAAATAAAGAAACATTACAAAATTCATTTCAGGTCAAATTAAAGGGTTTTTTTGTTTAATTATTTTGGTTTGGTTACCAAACTGAAAAAACAATTATCCACTCAGTGTTAATTATAGTGTGACCAACTTACAAGAACAAAGTAAAGGAATTGTACTGTTTCAAGCAAACCTGCTCACTATTTCTAATAAACTTAAATTGTAATTTGTATTTTATTTCTTCAGGCATGAAAAGGATCAACATTTTCTTTACTTACCTTTGGAGGTATTTCAATGCACAGCCTCTTTTGTTCTCCGAGACCTATGTGATGTAGTCCAATATTCATTTCTTTATTGTACCTGCATAAACGTCCTGTGCTTCCTATGCAACAACATACAGCAACAAAGAACATGCAGTCATTAAAAGCATTAAATAAATGTCACTTACTATATCACAAAATAACGTGTGTATTAACCTTTCAGAATTTGTTGACAATAAATGATGGAACACAATCTTTGTTGTTCAAGTTCTTTTATTCAAAACTTTGAATATGAGGCCAAAGTATAACAACTCGGGCTTAGTTTTAAGCAAACATCTCACATGTTTCTATATTAGCTCAGATTATCTCATTTATCATAATTCTCTAAGTCTGTCATCTCAGATTGTATCACACAATTGGACTGATAATCACTTGCTTAGTGTTCAAAGAACTGATACATCATCAGCTCAGTGTAAACCTTTTAGGGTATTAGGAACACAAAAGAAATTTAGATGAAAAGTAAAACACTGAAATCTAACTTTATCCTCAAGACAAGGAGACACTGTATGAAAATGAATATATTTACATTCAAGGGAATATCACACTTCTTTCCTTGATTCTTCAAGAGAACCTTATGCACAGGGGAAAAGAAAAGCCTAATAATACAATGCTGCTGCCCATTCATGCTAATCTTGTTATTCTAAAAAATTTAGAGACTACTAATGGGGAATGGACAGCTTAGAGAAGAGGTAATGGGATTTAGGTCTTGATCCGACAAGCATTCCTTTGAGGTGCCCGGTTCTCACAACTCCTGCTGATTTAAATGAAAGCAAAGTGGACTCAGCACTTAACAAAGTTGAGCCCTCATAGCTTTTTACTTCTAGACTCCAGGTTAGAATGAAGTTAAGACGAGTGGTGACCAAAATATTTTACTATTTGATGGGGCTGTGCAGTGAAAAACCAGTTGGATGCCTTGATCCATTGTCACTGAACATGTGTCTCCACCACAAAATTGGTGTTGATTGTCACCCTTGTAGAGATTTTTAGAAAGGAACTGGAAGAGAATCGACATGGAGGTCTCTCCCCACTCTAATGCTGGTCCTTTATCAAATCTGAGGTTCACTGGCAAAGTAGAGTAGGGAAGCTTGCCAATTTCCTTTCTGTGATTCACATCTTCTGTGGATGGGGGACATCACTCTCTCGAGTTGCTAAGTAGACACTTTAAATTAATACTAAATTCACATGTAAAAATCATAAAAAACAATTTAAGGGAAATATGTGTGCAGGTTTTTCCTCTATGAAAGGCAACAAACAAGGATCAGAGTGGTAGCCATTTTAGTCTGTATCAGCAAAAACAACGAGGAATCCTTATGGCACCTTAGAGAGTTACTTATAGAAGAGCCACAGTCAACCTGAAAATCCTGGGTGTGATTTACAAAAGTGCTTATTACTGACCTTTCTCTCCTCCCATTAAAGTCAATGGTAAAATGCTCAATGACTTCAATGGGAGCAGAGTTAGGCCAACACAAAGCATGTTTCTGAAAATCCCACCCAAGGTTTTCCACTGAAAATGTTGTACCCAGCGTTGCAGAGACTCACAATATTATGCTGAATCTTGTGATATTTGGCATTTTTCTCAAACATGCAGGCAAATAAATTTGGTGTTGCTTTTGTTATGTTTTTTAAATTTCATCTCAAAAGTTTTTTGAGGCTTGACTCATGATTTGGGTTTAGCAATGGTCTGTAGCTATTACTGACATGAGTGTCCTCTGTGATTATTGCAAGTGAAACAATATTTTCTCTACTTTTCCAGGTTGTTTACTTTGACATATGGTCCTGGCCACTGTTCTCTTGTTGGTGCTTACCCCTCCAGTCACAAGTGCCCCCAACAGGGCACTGACCAATAAGGGCAGCAGCGAAGCTGAAAGGGAAACAAACGAAGGGAGCAACAGACAGATGCGTACAAAGAGAGAGTAGGGTGAAATGGATCTGAGCATTTTGGTGTTGCTCTTGGGCCCACCCAAGACACGTCTAGTTCTAAACATCTACCCTGAGCAGAAGAAAACCTTATACATTAAAGGGTTTATTAAATATTTCAGGACATATTAATTAACATGTGCTCTGTCAGAAAACTTCACATTTCAAAAACTTCAGGTTAACAATGTCCCTTTAAACTCAGTGTTTTCAGAGAGGGTTAAGCTATGACCATTATTGTATATAATGGTACATTTCTCAATGGCAATAGTCATTAGAATACTTCCCCCACTGTATTTGTCAAACATTAGTGTAAAACCAATAATGAGTCATCTTCCCATCATTTTTCAGACACCTGTGTTAAATCCTGAAGGGATTTGTTCCAATTGGTGCAGTGTTCTAATGGGAAGTCTGAATAGTTTCCCTGCAGCCATTCTGCACTAAGCAGACTCACTACAGAAGGGTCAATGGATTGTTCAGTAAGCCTGTAGTATCTGCAGAATGAAAATGCAGTGTGAGAGAAAGATGATTTCTGGTAACTTTGCAGCTCGGTCAGCAAATCCTGAGAGAGAGAAAGCATAAAGGTTGTTTTCTGCAATATATGTGACATCCTAGTTTGAAATGACACAGCTCATGTTATTCTGTGACAAGCCCTATATTAAGACATGACAGATAATAAACCTGTAAGAACAGCTAACCTGCCAAATACAGATCCACAGATTAATAGATTCCAAGGCCAGAAGGGACCTCAGTGATAATGTCACCTGACCTGTATAACACAGGTCACAGAACTTTCCCAAAATAATTCCTAGAGCAGATCTTCCAGAAAAACATTTAATCTTGATTTAAAAATGGTCAGTGATGGAAAATCCACCATGATGCTTGGTAAATTATTCCAATGATTAATTACGCTCTCCATTTAAAATTTACACCTTATTTCCAGTCTGATTTTGTGTAGTTTAAAAATGTCCAGCCATTGGATTGTTATGCGCTTCTTTACTAGACTGAAGTGCTCATTATTAAATATATGTTCCCCATGTAGGTATTTACCGACTGTAATCAGTCCTTCTCTTAGTTAAACTAAATAGATTGAGCTCCTTAGGTCTCTCACAAGAAGACATGTTTTATAATCTATTATTCAGTCTCATAGCTCTTCTCTGAATCCTCTCCAATTTATCAACTTCCTTCTTGAATTGTGGGCACGAGAACTGGACATAGTATTCCAGCGGCAGCCACAGGAATGCCAAATAGATAAAATAACCTCTCTACTCCTACCTGAGATTCCCTTGTTTATGCATCCAAGGATCTCATTAGTCCTTTTGGCTCTTTTAGTTAGATATTAAAAACAGCATAACAATGGGAGCTCATGTTCAGCTGATTATCCCCCATGACTCCTACTTCTTTTTCAGTCACTATTTCACACGATAGATTTTCCCATCTTGTAAGTATCACATAAATTTTTTGTTCCTAGATGTATACATTTACATTTAGGTGTATTAAAATGCATATTGTTTGCATGCACCCAGTTTACCATGCGATTTAGGTTACTCTGTATTAGCAACCTGCCCTCTAAATTATTTACCGCACCCCCAATTTCTGTGTCATCCACTAACTATCAGTGATGATTTCATGTTTTCTTCCACATCATTGATAAAAATGTTAAATAGCATAGGGCCAAGAACAGACCCCTGCAGGACCCAGAAGAAAAACATCCACTCAACAATAACCCCCCAGTTTACAATTATATTTTGAGACCTATCAGTTAGCCAGCTTGTAAACCATTTAATGTGTGCTATTTTAATTTTTATATTGTGAGTTGAGCTCATGATAAAGCTTTGACTTGAAATTTTCTTGCTTAACTATTGCCAGAGTGAGTGTTGCAAATGATAAATTACATTATACTTCCCTTTATCATCAAATTAAGTCTTGAACACGCTACAAGTTTCAAAATGCTAAGCAGTTTACCTTATGATGAAACTCTGCAGAAACATTCTGATGTCATCATAGGAGTCACAATTATGAAAGAATATTAGTTAACTGTAATTGTTGTTCTCTGAGAAAATGCATCATAAAAGATCACTCTCTCCTGCCTCCACATCCCTACAACAAGGCCAAGATGGGAACTCCATAAGCTCAACATTCTGAAGCTCTGGTCCCACAATGGGCATGCTTTGCCAGCCATTGCAATGGAAGGCATTCGCTCCCTCGTACTTAGTCATCAGTTCCTTTTAAAGCAAGATGTGAAGTTACTCACACAGGTATTAAAGGGATTTGAATGATAAAGATAAAACAGGCTATCAAAGCATCAGCTCTCTTCTGGAAGGAGTAGTTGAATGCTGATCTGTTATGATGTTCAGAGGAGAATTATTATAGGGAAGTCATCCTCCCTTACAAATACCCTATAAAATAGATTCATACTCCTGAAGACTTAAGGGCTCTGGGAATAAATATGAATGAAAGGTCAGCAAAAGGCAGTGGAAGGTAAAATCAGGTGAACACTGCCTTTTTTCATCTTTTTATAAATTTAAGAGTTGTTGCTCTTTAAACAGTTCCCACAACAATCAGAAAAAAATAAACAGAGAAACAACCTAAAAAAAGAGAGAGTTTGTGTAACCTCAATCCTGGACCCTGTCTGGAAAGAGGTTCTGTGATACACCAAACCTCAACTCCTATCTCCATAAACAGCATGGCTAAGGAGTAAACTTTACTTCCTATCTGATTTAGATTCTTCCATTTTCTGTTTTGAGGAGCAGGGCTAAAAGATTTAACTCCCTTTAGATCCATGAGAGGTCCCCACGACAAAAAACGGACAATTTGCTGGAGCACCTGGAAAAGACAGAAGATTTCCAAGCCACAGATGGGGAAAAAGGAGATTGTAACCACAGCTCTTAGCCTAGCTGTAATGTTTAAATTGATTGGGAGAGCTGTCATGCAGTTGTACTTCAATGTTACAATACCAAATAGTTTGTGAACCTTCTCCCAGCTAAACAAGGCAGAAAAGTTCATAGCTTGGGTCAATCAGACCCCCGACTTCCTAAAGTGCTGATCATTATAGGAGGTGATAAGGAGGGAAATTACCACTGAGCTATCCTACATTTTAGACAGGGTAGTCACTGCCTCTGTGATCTACCCTCTCTCCTCTACATTA